TGTGTTTGTGTGTTTGTGTGTTTGTGTGTTTGTGTGTTTGTGTGTTTGTGTGTTTGTGTGTGTGTTTGTGTGTTTGTGTGTTTGTGTGTGTGTGTTTGTGTGTGTGTGTGTGTTTGTGTGTGTTTGTGTGTGTGTGTGTGTTTGTGTGTGTGTCTGTGTGTTTGTCTGTGTGTCTGTGTCTGTGCATGTGTGTGTCAGAGAGCGAGTGCGAGAGCGTGCGAGTGTGAGAGTGTGAGTGCATGAGTGTGAGTGTGAGTGATTGCTTGCGCGTGCAGACAGACAGCTCCAACCTCCGCTGCCACGCTGTTCGTCAAGTAAAAGAGCCAACATCGGGGATTCTGAAACCAAAGAGAATTAAACCCTCTCAGATGGCCACAACGGGAATCTTGGGGCGAGACCGTTGCATGGCATAATGAGGGGAGTGCTTGCGCGCTTGCTTCAAGAATGGGAGAAAGGCGCCAGAGGCCTGGGTCCCTTACACTCAAGTGAACAGTTTGAATTTTCTCGAAATTGCTTTGGATAGGGGGGTTTCTTTTTATCACCATGTAGAGGGTAATTTAGGATGTTACCTTAGTGAACCCAGAAGTGTGACATGTACGTATCATATGCATATATAGAGGGAGAGATATTGATAGATCTGTGTGTATATACACACTCGCCTGCATACTTACGGGCATACATACGCCCGCACAAGCGTTTGTCAGTGTTAGCAGCCTAGTCAATATAAGTATATACATCTAAACTCAGCATACGCACGTGTATTTACATACATATCATGTCGATGTATACAGTGGCATGCATATATGTGCAGCTACATGAAGCGGAACAAGATCCTGAAATATGGTGGTCCATTCGACCGACCCCGCTGGATGAAGCATTGCAGGCCAGCAGCCAAGGGCTCGAGGTTTCGGAGGCTGAAGACACGCCGATGGAAATTTCAATGGCCTTGATTGTTTCCGGAGTTCGGGACCCATCCATTCTCATTTTCTGGGTGGAGTGAAAGTCGGGGCCGCTTGCCACAGCCGACCCAACCTTCAAAGGCGTTAGGATTGACCAACCCGCAAGGGTATAAATTTGGTTGGGTTTGGCCCCCCGACCGGGCGCAAGCAACCCTGCCACAGCTTATGCGATACCCTGGTCGCGCCGCGAGCTGCATGCCATGACCTCGCGGCATTCGTTGAGGAGGCGGAGAGGGAGAGAGTCATAGAGAGTCATAGAGAGAGTCATGACTGGGCTCTCCTCCAATATGATTTTACATGTAAAGGTTGACTATAAGACGCCACTGCGCCGGCCAACCAACTTGTCGAATTTAAGTTTCAAGTGTTTTGGTTGGGGGGCACAAAAAGGTTGGCCCACCATCCTGACAAGCGCACCCACGAGAAGAACGGGTGGCCCGAAAGCATACCATATGGCGAGCGCGACGTATGATGTTAAATGCGGTCTTTGTTTTCGTGCACGATATGGGCCAGTTGCTTTGTGGAAGTGGTCTTTGAAAGTTGCTCTGTGCAAGCGCTCTGTGCAAGTTGTTCTGCACAAGCGCTCTGTGCCAGTTGCTCTGCGCAAGCTGCTTTTGTGCAGGTTGCTTTGCGCAAGTGTGCGCGTATATATGTCAGTCCTGCTCTGAGAATGTTTCCGTGTCTGCACATACGGCGTCACCTCGACACAACTTCTGAAGACTCATCCGCGAGCTCCATTAAAGTAGCAAGAGCCCGCAGCTTTTGCACATCGACCACGCCGCTCCCCGCAGAGGGTCGCTCGGGCAAATCATAGAACAGCAAAAGGCCAAGTTTTTGCACATTGGCCACCACCGATCCGGGCGGATCCGGGTTTGGTCCCACAGTTTTCATCTCTCGTGCAAGTGTGCTTGCGCGAGTTTGTGCTCGCGCAAGTCAGCTCGAGTAAGAGCTCTTCGCAATGGTTTTCGGGAAGATTCACACACCTATGTGTTGATGTGAGGGTCGGTCAGATTTGCCACTAGTCTATGGTTCATCTACCAATGTTCCACAACAACTCGGGGACACGAAAATGTCCATGCCCTCTGGGGGGGAAGTTTGTACTTCTGATATGGCTGTGAATTTCAATCAGAAACCACCTCACAAATGGTTGGTGGACATAATCATCGCCACTGAATGTTGATGCCCACCATTTCGGGCCCCGAGTAACAAATCACCCATGAAAGTGGTGTGTGTTTGGGGGAAACCTTTTTTTGGTGGGCCTCACGAAAAATGGAAACCACTATTGTGGGGCTTCCGAAAGATCACACCATGTGGCACCACTCATCGCGGGCGAGGCTTTGGATCCGTGTCCTCTCAGGCGAGTGAAGTGTTTACCCAGACAAAATGGGTATGTGTTCATTTCACGGGTTCCCCGAAAACGACGGTGTTCCTGTTGGTGTCCCTTGAAGCCACTTAAAAAGGGGTACCCGTAAGCCCTCAAAAAACGCCAAACCCAGATGGCACGTGTTGCAATTGATACATTGGTTTTCTCACATGTTTTTGTTGATCATGGTTTACCCTATTCGCAACGATCACCACACATACCACACTTTGTGGGATTGGAGGAAAAGGATATGTAAGGTTGTGGCAGGAGGCCAGAGGTGGCAGTGGTTTCATCAGTTTGGCTCAACAGCATCACAGTTTTCAGTTCGGCTCATCAATTGCCAGGGCCTTTTTCTTTGTAAAGGACACACACACAACCCTGCGCCATAAACAGAGCTGCATCGTGAGCGGGGGCCAGCCTTTTTGGGCAGACTCGAATGGGATTGACCTCGCCACCTCCTTCCTCAAAGTTAGGACAACCAGAGACGGTGAAAACTGCCCCGTCAGGTTTCGCCTCAGCTTCCAGGCAAGGAGCCAGGCAAGGAATGACTGACTCTTGTGGGGGGTGCCAAATCGCCCGAAGGTTTCTGAGTTTCTGCAACAAACCAACGGGGGACTCAGAATTATCGTTCACTCGATTTTCCTATCATTCCCCTAGTGGGCTTGAATCAGTATGTCATTACATGTCTATCCTGGGGGCCTTCAACCTTTGCCTTGTGAGAACAGATTTTGGTTGGTTTGGCGCAGTTTGGTTTGCCCACAAACCTTGGACCCCGCCCACTCGAATCGAATCCACCACCAAAACCAGTTTCCAACTAGTGGTGAGGCGGAGCGCAATAGCCAAAGTTTGAGTCCCTGCCATGTGTGCCTAGTGCAGGAAACACCCCTTGAAGGGCAGTGCAAAGATTGAAACTGGATTTGAGCAATCTCAAGAACGGCCTGAAGGAGATTTGCCTTGAGGACTGCTGTACCTCAGACTCGTTCGGGGTCAATGCCGCACAAATTGGTTGCATCGTAGAACCGGTCGCCCTTCTAAAGAACCACCAAGTCAAACCCAGGCGAATATATCCCGGTGTCTATTGTAAACTAATAAAGTTTGAGGTGTCTTGGGATAGTTTAAAGGGAAGCACTAACATGCTGTGGGTGCCCCTGCCGCTTCAAATTCATTTGAGACAAACGGCGGTGCCTTTGCGTGCGACCATTCGTGGCCTCTTGTCGACCGTTGCCTGGGTCAGAACCGACGAGAATGGACAGCTGCAAGGGCCCCCGATCCGGTTTTTGCCAAAACGGAGCCGTGGGAGGCCGTTTAATGAGTTCCCATAAACGGGATCCGTTCCGATCGCTTGCGCCAAAGGACAATCACGTGTGTATCCGTTAGGAACTTGTGAATCAACTGTTTTGAGCAACCCTGAACAACCAAGCCACTTGACGCACCCATTGTTGAGGTGCATTTGTTTTGCGGCACCCTCCGAATCTGTTTCTAGTCATGTTCCCCGCCAAAGATGGTCCAATTCCAAAGGCTGATCAGCAAGATCCTCACCTTGGGTTGCGAAAGGACTCGGTCCCTTTTGTAGTGGATTAACCGAGCGGTCAAAGGACAACGTTCCCTTTTTCCACCTTGGTCACTTGCAAGTGTGAAGGCTCGATGGTTCGGCATCCTGGCGCTGGGCAGCCTGGGCAGCTCGGCAAAAGTGGCCGATGCCGAGAATATGGCGGTGTCCTAAACTAAGACTGGACCCCGAAAAAGTCTCCGGTCCCTCAAAAAAGAATAACAGTTTCCTCAAAATTGCCCAAAGATCGATTTCGGCGTTCCGTCTAAAAAAGGGACCCTCCAAAGAAAAAAGCGGACCCGGATGATGCCCACACCCGAGGTCCCCAAATGGTATGCCACCTCCCCTTTTTTAATGCATGGCAAGGGGGCGTACCCCCAGTAAAGGACCTTGACCCAGTGATGTTCCCATGTCACGTCAACACCCCGCTCTCAGGCCACTTGATGGCTTGGATTGGTTTGGGGAAGGTAGCTAGCAAAACTCAAGGCTTCAAGGTTTCAAGCAAAGGTTCGGGACTTACAACACCTGACCAGCTGCTACGGGAAACTGGGGAATACTAGCCACTGAGCGAAGAAGGTGATCTCTCAATGGGTTACTGAATGACAAGGCAGCATCACCACAGTGTTTGGCCTCTTTACACAAAACTACGCAATCACAGACACACATACACACAAGGCCACATAGGGGTGTCCTTGACAGAAGGAAACCCCAAAAAAGCGGTTTGGTTGCTTTGTGTTTTCCTGCAAAACGTTTCAAGACCCTCCGTTTCAAGGGTGCCGAAAATCTTTGGAACTCCCTCCCCCGTATCATGAAGCCCGACACTCGGAGGAAGCGGCTCCCTGGTGTTGACCGCCCAAACGGGAGGTGGCTAACAAACACCCATGGCTTTTCCAGTGCGGTGGTGCAGCAGCCCAAGACTTGGGGAAGCCTTGCGGGGGCTTGCAAGAAGTCTACCTATGGCGAGCGATTCCACTGATTCGGCAAACCGGGCGAAAGCCATGTAGGTCCTTGACTTGGGGATCCGATTAACCAAGGTTTGGAGTCTGGAGTTGCTGTAGTGCAAGGCATTTCTGCAAAGTTAACATAAAGTAGAAATGGGAATCAACCTTGCTCGTTCGCAACCTTGCCTCAGGTACATGTTTCCTTTGGCAGCCCGACCTCACCAAGGACCCCGGCAGGAGCTACGGCAATCCGATGGACGGTTCACTGGGCTTCCAGGTGGCAGGGAATATGTAAATGTCGACCCCGATGAATCTGCCGGGTGGATCAATGACTCACTCCCAAGTTTCTGGACTTTGTACTTTTTGCGCTTGGACTGCTTTAGCGGCAAACGAACAGTTCAGGCTGTTGGGCAATACATTCAGGAGTTGAGACAAGGGGTGTTACCCCAAAACGTGAAGGATTCCCTTTTACAAGAAGACCCCCTGATGAGTGAGTTTTCACTTTCTGTTTGGTGGGTTCCCAACAATGGAATCAACCCCAAAACGGGGTCGGTTTTTCTACCAGGCCGGGCTCACAGTGCGTATTCGACAACTGGTCCTCGGCATTGATGCATTGATGCACGAAACCCAACACGGTCATTGAATTTAAGGAATCGGTTTTTCCTACTTTTCGGGTTCCAGGTTTGATTTGTAGGGAAACACCCTCCCTCCAACAATCATGGAAGATGACAGGAGGGTTTTTTCAGACTTCCCTTTTGGGGAAGCCCACCTCCATGTAGGGTAAGAAAGACTGCAGCAAATTGATCAACTTATTTGCAGAAACAAACGTGAGCACAATTTACCTTTCTGGAATGGCAAATCTCGCTAACCCAGCCAAATCTCACTGTTTGTCGTCCAAAGTATGACAAATGGGGTGCGTCCTTTTTGAGGGGAACCCAGCCCCTCAAAGAAATAAATGTTCCTTTTGGTTTCCCTGTTCAACCCAAAAAATAGACACTGAACTGACAACAAGCAGCTCGAGGAGGGAGCTGCGAGAGGAGTTCGCAGGGCCCGGCACAGAGAGGTGCGCAGAAGTTTCTCGCTTGCGAGCGGCCCCCGGGAAACGGTTGGGCTCACAATCTTTCTTTAAGCCACAAAATTGTTTGTTTAGACGTTTAAGAAATGCCTTGATTTGGAAGACCTGGTATCCCTGATTTATTGGTGGTGTGGATTGGCGATTTGGAACACTGGTAAAAGGTAAAGTAGTCATGGTTACTATTGCAAACTGTTGTACCAATGGTTACTAACAACTTAGCCAACTCCCACCCGCATGACCAACCTACATAGTACGCGGTTAGCAACCCTGGTTAACAATGCTCCTAGGTATTTTTCCCCCTACAAGACACTCGCGGGCCGAATCCTAACCGAGCGGTCTAGCCAAGCAGATCATACCGCATCATATAATCCCCCCCCTCAAACCCCGTCCCCCGTGAGTCCTTGGTATTGGGGAAGGGGGGCTTGGGCCCTTCCAACCATGGGACAACCCACCCAACCCGTGCCTGGCGTGGATTTTGTTAATTTGGGTCTGTCTCAAAGAGCCACAAAGTGATGATCCTTTTAGTTCCCAGAACCAAACCCCGCCAATCCAGAGTACAGCTCAAAAGAAGCCCTGTCAGGCTCAGTTTGCCACTGAGCTGTGGGGGCCGCCTCAGCGTGCGTGGACACAAGGCCTCGGAGCAACACGCGGCTTGGGCGAGACATGTGAGCAACGGACAATACCTGGTTTGTTGCGTCTTGTTGCTTCTTTGGAGACGGCATGGGACCCACCCAATTCTCCATATGTGTGTGTCACAAACATTGTGCCTACCACCCAATGGAACCAAGAGTAAGTATTGGGAGCGTCCAGATGTCTCGACTCGACTCATTCCCATTTCTAGGGGGTGGACGCATTGAGGATGTGTTTTTTGCTTTTTGGGCTCAATGGGATTGCCCATTTCCTCGAAGTGCAACCGTGTCAACCGAAAAGGGGATCAGAAAGATCGAGCCCTTGGAACCCCTCGGGTGAAATTCGGTCAAACTGTCCAGTCTATGGTCAGGACACGGGGGAGGAGCTCAAAGATTCCCCACAGAAACTAGGGGACGAGTTGCATGTTTTCCATATCCTTGAGGGGAAACCAGATTTTGACCGTTGGGGACATGTAGATCAGTGCCTTTTGAGTTCCACAAGGGTGCTATGCTCTTCTTTTGATGTTGAGGTTGCTGGTTGCTGAGCAAAGGAAAGCACACAGTTCGGACGTATGACAGTGTGCTTTAGGAGTGGGGTTGCTCAGGAGCCGAAGCTTGAAGCAATCCCGTGTAGGCCAAGTCAAAGTTTGCTTCCAGTTTGCTGGTGTGGTTTAAAGGAAAGATTGGGAGCCCTGTGGATCTGGAAGTTTACTAGGTTAGCATCTCCCACTTCACCAGAAACTGTTGGACAGCGCCCCTTGTAAACTGTATCCCTCGAGTTGGGCAAAGGGCTCGGGCAGGGAACAGGTGTTTGTTTTCTTCAGAGGCAAAAGGTCGCAAAAGGTACCGGTACCTTTTGCCTTGGTCCGGGAAGCCAATGGGAAGACCCGCCCATTTTGGTTGGTCGGTCCAATGCGCTTTGGCGCACACCCGACCTTCGCCTCCCTGAGTCCCTGAGTTGAACTTCTATTTGTTGTACTACTTGATATAGTGATGAGCCAAAGGCTTGGATATGCTTGGGTTAATGTATTTAAGTGAGATGGTCCTATCCTTGGAAATGTTTCATCGGGGCCTGAAGACAAACCCAGTGCGTGCGTCTTTCTCCTGGCTTCTCCAACAGCGACAGTTCGGTCTTCGCCAATCCCGTGGGTTTGGGTCGGGGCAGGTTCCTAGGTTTCAGGTTTTGGGGTGTTGGGTCTCGATGCTTGGGCTTTGTCATAAACGCAAAACAAAAGTCCTTGTGGCTTTCTTTGGAATAAACACTCTGACGCAACCTGTTTGGCTTTTGTTTCTCTCTTTTTTTGGCAGGTGGTTTTTGTTGGGGTGGAGGGGTGATGTCCAGCACCCTCCCAGGTGCCAGCCGGGTACCCCTCCGGGAGTTTCCAGGAATGGCGGAGCCTGCTCTTCGAACCAGCCGAGGAAGAGGACGAACTTGTTTGCTTCCGGAAGACCCAAAATGGTTTGGCGGAGGATATTTACCTGAAAGTTTCAATGCCACAAAGTCCACAGACGTGTTTCTGTGCGACACATGGCGCATCGAGAAGGCCGTCTCAGCAATGCTCAGTTTTGGGCATGATCCCCCAGCCCCCGATTACAGTATTGTTTCTGCGCACGAGGGAATGTATGGAGGGGAACACCTAGACTAGAGACTCAAGACCCCAATACCCTAAAGAAGGGGCTGCCAAGTAGACTGTGAGTCTGTGAGTGTCCATGGGGTCGCCATTCTTCCCATTTAGCTCGGGATGCGGAGGCAGTGCGCAGCGCAGGATCCAGGGCCGCCCTTCATCCAATCAGTTTCGAAGGTGACGTGCTGTTCCGATGATCGTTTTTTACCCGATGCCGACCCTGTGGTGCCTCGACATCCAACAACCCAGTCGGGCCTGCTAGGTGTGAGGTAGTCGGACTGTGTTTTCCCTCCTCAAAGAAAGGGGGTTAGCACTACATGTTAGAAACTGCTATCTTGCATGAGCATCGCTTTGGCAAAGTGACGCTTTGGAAAGCCCGAAAGAACCAGCTGGCTTCCACGCAGTCTGGAAGATGCTCCACTGGTCAAACGATTTGCCCAGTGTTGTTGAGTTTTCCGTGAGGCCCAAGTCGTCGCAGGGTTTCTTCCCAACCGGTGCTTTGCTTCCTTGTCCTTTTTGGGCGGGTTGCCCTTCTTCGTTGGTGGTTTCTCCTTTAAACACCCAGCAAGCCTTTCCAATGTCCATGCCTTGCTGGCCATGCCGTGTTCGCAAGAATGACTGGGATGCTCGCGCGGACAAATGGTTGGCTTTCGGCTGCTATTGTTTGTTGGATCTTTCACCTTTAGCAGTTTGGCCGAACATGTTGTGTGAGTTTCCCATGAAGCGGCAAACACTTGTTCTTTCTCAGGGAATATATGAATAACTCACCGACCGTTCTCCGTTTTGGTTGACAAGGGGTCTCATTTCCATATTCCCTACTGAGAACAAGCAAGAAATTGTTGATCATTTTTGCTCCGGGCGGGGGGGGGGTCCTTTGACCAACCTAGTTTCTTGCAAGCTAGTTGTTTGTGTTTCCGCTTTATCCAAAACTGAGTTTCCAAGTTTCTGGACTTTTTTTTAAGACAACGTTGGCAGTCAATAAACAGTCAAGGTTTTTGTCCAGCCAATCCACTCGCTCAGTTGCATGGGTACATAGCTGTGTTTGCAACCTTCTTTTAAGAATGGTTCTTTGGGGTGCAAAACGACCTGTATGTCATATACTCTCAATCTTATAGTTTCTATTGGGGACGTGGGTGGTCCACCTGTGGGGCTTTGGCTACGGCTTTGACTTAGTTGACATTGGAGCTGTACACCTCTCTACGTGTGTGTTTTGATTTATGTTCCCTTTAAACCATACTTAGATGGCCTGGAAGTTAGCTTAAAATGGGTACTATCCCTGCTGCCTGCCAACCCGCAGAACGGGGACTTACATCCGACATGTCGAGGTCCTGGCATTGAACTACCCCAAGACACTGAGCACCTGCGTCGCCGCTGGGCTCACTGCCCTGGGCTGTGAGAACCCGAAGATCCTGGTCATTGGCCTAGGCCAGGGGTTTGGTCCAAAATTTATCACCAACGCCATGTTGCTCAACAGGGGCCAACGCATCAATTGGTTTCCTGGTGTCTCCCTTACCATTTAAAAGAGCACCCTACTCGAGAAAGACACCCATTTGCTGCTGGTTGATTTGGAAAATCTGTTTTGGATTCCCGATATAGAGGCACCCACATGAAGTTCGGTCAAACAGACCTGCGGCCTAGGTAGCGGATGGGAAGAGCAATCAGAAGGTTCCGGTTTACTACCAATACGTTGCCAGCGGTTACCTAGTGAGGTTGATAGGGCCGGTTCGGTCAAACTATCAGACGGTTAACGTGGGCAGACAGAGCAAGGGCGGCCTCACAGAGTGTCTCAAGCCAGACTCTTTAAATTTCCATGTCGGGTTTGGCAATTGTTCACCGAACAACTGGGCCGAGAGGGAACCCAACCGTGAAAACCCAGTTGATTGAAAGGAGGATTCAATTTACAAGGGAATCCGGGACTGTTTGAGGGAACCCCCGAATAATCCATTGATAGATCCTTCGGCGAGATGGGAAGTTGAGAAACCTGAAAGCAGGAATCGAGATCCTACTTTTTTGAGACCTGCTGTTTTGTTGTTGTTGCTGCTGCTGCTGCTGCTGTTGTTGTTGGAGGGCTTCTCGCCCGTTGCGGCCCTGTGAATTCTATATTTTTTGCCGATGCACACGCGGTCAACGAGGGGGTAATAACGTTCGGTAAAAGATGCACACGCAGTCAACGGGAAGTAATAACGTTCGGTAAAAGATGCAAACGCAGTCAACGAGGGGGTAATAACGTTCGGTAAAAGATGCACACGCAGTCAACGGGGAGTAATAACGTTCGGTAAAAGATGCAAACGCAGTCGGGGGTGGGGTGGGGTGGGGTGGGGTGGGGTGGGGTGGGGTGGGGTGGGGTGGGGTGGGGTGGGGTGGGGTGGGGTGGGGTGGGGTGGGGTGGGGTAGGGGTGGGGTGGGGTGGGGTGGGGTGGGGTGGGTGGGGTGGGGTGGGGTGGGGTGGGGTGGGGTGGGGTGGGGTGGGGTGGGGTGGGGTGGGGTGGGGTGGGGTGGGGTGGGGTGGGGTGGGGTGGGGTGGGGTTGGGGTGGGGTGGGGTGGGGTGGGGTGGGGTGGGGTGGGGTGGGGTGGGGTGGGGTGGGGTGGGGTGGGGTGGGGTGGGGTGGGGTGGGGTGGGGTGGGGTGGGGTTGGGGTGGGGTGGGGTGGGGTGGGGTGGGGTGGGGTGGGGTGGGGTGGGGTGGGGTGGGGTGGGGTGGGGTGGGGTGGGGTGGGGTGGGGTGGGTAATAACGTTCGGTAAAAGATGCACACGCAGTCAACGGGAGGTGGGGTGGGGTGGGGTGGGGTGGGGTGGGGTGGGGTAATAACGTTCGGTAAAAGATGCACATGCAGTCAACAGGGGGTGGGGCGGGGTGGGGTGGGGGAATAACGTTCGGTAAAAGATGCACACGCAGTCAACGGAGGGTGCGGCAAAGATGCGCACGCAGTCCTGGATGTCAGTCATAAATTTCTGTCATGTCACGCACACGCAGTCATGGACTTTAGGATAATTTAGGCATGGATTTCTGTCATGTTGTGTTGTTGGTTTTGACTTTGGTGTTGGTTGCTGTTGCTGTTGATGTGGCTGTTGATGTTGCTTTTGTTGTTGGTTTTGCCTCGATTCAACCTTTTTTTTCGACTGGACTGGATTTGGTCAAAATTTCATGACTGGTGAAAACCAGCACCCTGTGCGAAGAAGGTGTGAATTCACAGCGCCGCAAAGGGTGAAGGCTACCTTGTTGTTGTTTTTTGTTGTTGTTGTTGTTGTTGCTGCTGCTGCTGCTGCTGCTGCTGCTGCTGCTGCTGCTGCTGCTGCTGCTGCTGCTGCTTCTGTTTTTTTTTGTTGTTGTTGTTGTTGCTGTTGTTGTTGTTGTTGCTGCTGCTGCTGCTGCTGCTGCTGCTGCTGCTGCTG